ATGGCCATCCCTCGGTCCACTTGTTCAAGCTGTCTTTGTCAGAAGAGAAATATCTGGAAGAAGCTGACAAGATGGATGTTCTCTTCCAACACCCTAGTGTCGAGGGTGTCTACGAGGGAAATATCCCGCTCAGCATTCGGGCGGTGCTCAAGCTAGGAAGCCATTGTACTTTCGATGAAGAGCAGCGTGGTGTGCTTGGTGAAGGATTGGACAAGGGCTTTGATCTTTCCACCCTGCTCCACGCATCTTCGGACCAGCCATATCTGATGGACTCGTCATTGGTATTCCATTACCTGTACCACATTGTTTCAGGCGATAGACAAATCTTTGCGCTCTTCTCGACGGCAAAGAACGAGGCCAACATTATCATTCTCAACCGCACCAGGGATGTCCAGGGTCTTCCAAACGTTGATAAGGTGTATACCGAGTTCCTAACTCGCAAGATGCAAGCTGCATCGGGCGATGACTCACAGGACGCGTTCGAATACCAGGACAGGATTCATTTCAAGATCACCCAGGTGATGACGCGAAGAAAGGCCCACCTTGAGGTTGGTGACCTGGTGAGGAAACTCCGAAACGACGAGAGCCGGCCCGCCGTTCTTGTGATCCAATCCCAGCAGAAGGACCGCCTATGCCACGACATCCCAATCTTGAAGGAGTACCCTGTCCTATCCGTGAAGCCTGAGCCGTCGGACATGGAACTTCCGCCTCTCGGCTGGCAAGCATTTGTAGCCAGGCGTATCGTCACTCGTTACTTGTACTTGTCTTCCTGGATTCAACACTTGACCGGTCTTGCTCGATACGGTGATGTTCCACTTTGCAACTTGGAAAGTGACGATCCTCGCTACCTCATCGATATTGCCTATGCCAGAAGGCTCCAGCAAAACAATGTTGTTCTCTGGTGGTCTCCTGGTCCACGTCCTGATCATGCAGGCTACGAAAGAGATGATATTCTCGGCTCCCTGGACAAGGTCAACATGCCATCAGTCAACGTACCCAGTGCTTACTCGACTGTTTGCATCGAGCTGGAAGTTCGTAACCTTTCCATCAACACGATCTTGACTTCTTCTATCATCCACGAGATGGAAGGCAGTGACACGTTGCTAGCTCCTTCGGGTGATGCTGAAGATACGGGTGTTTTCTATTCCGAGAAAGCATTTGCTTCCGCTGGTGTCGTTGTTCTTCGAGAGATGGTCAAACACTGGTGGACAGAGGCTTGCGCAGGAAACAGTATGGCTGATGTCATGGTCTCGCATTTGATTCGATGGGTGGAAAGCCCCGTGTCCTGTCTCTATGATCGGTCTTTGCACAATTATGTCAGATTGCTGTCGCGAAAGTCATTCCAGAGACTCATGGCGGAGTTCAGACGTGTTGGTTCGCATGTCGTATTTGCCAGCCCTACACGTCTTCTACTCCAGACGACAAAGACTGAGGTTGGCAATGCCTACGCCTACAGTCAGTATGTCCTGAAATCAATCCGCGCCAATCCTTCGTTCCACTTCATCGATCTGGAGATCAAGGAGTACTGGGATTACCTCGTATGGTACGACGAATATAACTACGGAGGCAAGGGCTGCCGGGAGGTCACCGAATCCGACGAACAGAATCTTGAGACGGTGATGCACTGGCAGCTGAGTCGATTCCTGCCAATGCCCATGCAAACTATCTTCCACGACTGGGTGGTCGAGTACATCGAACTAATGCACGCCTTGAAAAGACCTGAGGTCCAGGATGGCGAGATTTCCTCAACGCCTCGTCCGACGCAGATTCCCATTGGACGAAACAACGAAGCAGACAATGAGGAGGTCACTGCCGTTCTCGCAGATCGATTCTCGAAGCCGCTGAAGAAGCAAATCTCGGGTCTGATCCGTAGACAGCGTGACGAAATGCTGCATCCCGAGCTTGCATCCGACTATGCCTTCCCCGTATTGCCTGGTGTCTTGGTCAATACCAAAGACGACAAGCGCAACCCATCATTGGAGTTGACAAAGCTTCTTATGCAAGTTTTGAGTCTGTCCAAGACTACAACCCTGGAATCTCGGTTGTTGCGCCGCGAGCTCCTGGCACTGTTTGAAGTCCGAGAATTCAGCAAGGAGGGTCGATTCGAGAACCCCAGTGCTAGCCTGAAGCTTCCCGAAATGAGCTGCAATTCTTGCTGTCTTATTCGAGACCTTGACCTTTGTCGCGACGAAGATGTGCTGCCCGATTTCGACTCGGATGCCACCACTACCTCCAAGCCTTGGAAGTGTCCCTTCTGCCACGCCGATTACGACCGGCTGGCACAGGAAGAGCTTCTCATCGGGCAAGTCCACGGTCTTGTTGTTGAATGGCAGACTCAGGACCTCAAGTGTTCCAAGTGTGGCGGCCTGAAAGTCAGTGAATTCATGGAACACTGCTCTTGCAGTGGTACCTGGGCAGCATCTCTCGATCGTACCGAGATTGAGAAGAAATTACGAGTGCTGGAGAGTGTGGCCAAATTCCACAAGCTGCAATTGTTAGAGAACATCGTCGTGGATGTGCTGGCGAGGTTCTAATGTGTTTGGATATCTGTTTCTGCATGGGGAGTACTGGGTCGGAGGATTTGTGGCATTGGGCAGGAGTTGTGTATATAAGTTAGCATTCAATAGTTAATGGCGCCGTTGGCGATCCGTCGATCTATTTCTTTATATTCCCTCCCGCCTCTTTGTTCGGTGTATAGCCCTCTCCCCCAGCGATCCCAGCGATCGCCAGCGTTCTCGAACTTCAACCCCGCAGTGTCTCGGTCGGACTCAGAAAACCAAAAACAACCAACACAATCGATCAACTGAATTACCTCGAGTGGTTGCATCCTTTTGTGCGTATTCCCGACTGTTTCACCTTGGCGGGGCTGAGCCGCATCTTGCGGGCAACGTGTGGCACTTCCAGCGTAAGGCTGACTTGAATTTGTGACCACAGGGATATATCGAACGAACGTATATATCGCATTACCCCCCGAAACGAATCCCTTTAGCGCCAGGCCCAGTCTGCAGCTCGTTGCGTCTACCTCCCTCGATCCTCCCCTCCGTGTTATCGCAGGTTCACCCCCCATGGCGGCACCACCTCCGAAACCCAAGGTCCAACCGTGCCGATACAAAACTGGCAAGACACTCGGCGCTGGATCGTACTCCGTCGTCAAGGAATGCGTGCATATAGATACTGGTCGCTACTATGCGGCCAAGGTCATCAACAAGCGTCTGATGTCTGGGCGGGAGCACATGGTATGTGTTGGAACTGCGGCCGACACCACTACATGCTGACGGACTGAGTGAAACAGGTCCGGAACGAGATCGCTGTCTTGAAGAAGGTGTCTATGGGCCACCAAAATATCCTCACACTGGTCGACTACTTTGAGACCATGAACAACCGTGCGTTTCTTGTCGGTGTGGTGTATACCGTCTGTTTCTAATGACCACTGACCAGTATTGCTCTCTAGTGTACCTGGTGACTGATCTCGCGCTGGGCGGAGAACTCTTTGATCGCATCTGCCGCAAAGGCAGCTATTATGAGTCAGACGCTGCCGATTTGATTCGCGCAGTGCTTTCCGCTGTGGCATATCTGCATGACCACGGAATCGTGCATCGAGACTTGAAGCCCGAGAACCTGCTCTTCCGCACACCAGAAGACAATGCCGATCTATTGATTGCTGATTTCGGATTGTCAAGAATCATGGACGAGGAGCAGTTCCACGTCCTGACAACAACCTGCGGAACCCCAGGATACATGGCCCCGGAGATCTTCAAAAAAAGCGGCCACGGCAAGCCAGTGTGAGTCCCATGCCCCGTACACGCCATACATTGATAGTAAACTTTACCCCCATATCTAACAAACTCCAGCGACATCTGGGCCATTGGCGTAATCACCTACTTCCTACTATGCGGCTACACCCCCTTCGACCGCGACTCAAACCTGGAAGAAATGCAAGCAATCCTAGCAGCAGACTACTCCTTTACGCCGCTAGAGTACTGGCGCGGCGTATCGCAAGAAGCGCGCACCTTCATCAACCGCTGCCTAACAATCAACCCTCAATCGCGAATGACCGCTCACGAAGCCCTCCAGCACCCATGGGTCAATCCGCCCTATGACAACGCCAAGCTCGGTTCGGGCGAGGACCTCCTGCCGACCGTCAAGAAGAACTTCAATGCGCGGCGCACGCTGCACCGCGCTATCGATACCGTGCGTGCTATCAACAAACTCCGCGAGGGTGGTGGGTTCATGATGGACGGTGTTATGAGTGTTGATCCTAAGCCTGAGCGAGTGAATGGGGACGAGATTATTGAGGAGGAGAAGTATGCTGCGCCGGCGCAGTCGGCTGCGGATCATGCTTCTGCTGGGCAGATTGATAGTCGGGGCAATGCTCGTGGGCAGACCGAGGAGCAGATTCGGGCTCAGGAGCGTAGGGTTAAGGAGATGGTTGCTGGGTTGTGGAGTCGGACTCCTCGTTAAATCATACCCTTTTCTATTTTGCATTTTGCATATTCCATGTCTCAGTTTCAATTGTGATTGTATTGTGTCTGGTCCGAGTGAATATTGGTGACTATTGTCTAGTATGGGCATTTTCAGTATATATGCATACCAGTTTTTCTGGCCTATATAACTACACGGACCTCTAATGGGATGCAAGGCTCACTTCTACGGAGTGGTAATACCGGAGGTGGTATCTACATTCTTATAGTACGGAGTACTAGCCGCTATTCGACTACACATGCTATGAATCATTATGATTATAAAGGATCTATAATTAAACAAATGATAAAGAGGAATATACTAAGTGTAGTGTTGGTTAGTGCGAATCGAGGTTTACTGTATTCATTAGACTCCATATCGGTGATCTTAAGCACGCTACTGCTATCCCATATGAAACTTATCCGGAAACCTCTGGAACAAGCCAGAGAAGTTACTGTAGTATCATCATAATCATTATTAATGGTCTCACATGCTAGAAATGTAGGACAAAAGCAACGCGATCTAGAATGGAAACTGAATCACGCCAGGATTTCCGCTCCATCATCCAGAGACAGAACCCAGTCCCGCCATGCCTGCCACTCAGCATAATTTGCACTCGCCTTGAGTCCCTGATACCTGATAGTGCGGAACTCCGAAACTTGGTCCCAAGGTTTGGCAGTACTGGAATTCCCGCCTGCCGCACCTCGTAGTAGTCTCCTAGCGGCACTGCCACTCCCACCACCACCGTCCCATCCTGCCTTGCGCATCAGGCTCTCGACGGTCTCTTCTTTCGTCCAGCCTTGCTCGACGGCAACGTCGGGGAGATAGGTGGCGCCGTAGCGACGGCCGCGGTGAACGAAGGAGATACGCAGACCGTGGGTACCTAGACTCCAATCCAGGGCGTCTGTGCAGGGTTCAAAGGATCCTAGGAGAGTGAGAGAACATGATAGCGAGGTGAGGAGAGATTTGGGGATAGGAGAGAAACGTGTGTCGTCAAAGGCCCTGCAAGAAAAGAACATTACAAATTAGCTGGTCTGGTATACTGGGGCTGTATGCTTTCATGTATATAAAAGCAAGGATTGGGAAGTACATACGAGGTCAAAGCGTAGGACTTCAGCCCTTCTGCTAGCTCCTGTCCTTCGAATGTGCCTATGCAACCCCGCAGAGACTTGTGTCCACTTCGTGACATGGTATTCCATGTGACGAACAGGGGGTACCGCTGATCGGGCGATATCAGCTGGGATGGAGTCTCGGCCAGCCCGGGTGAGGTGATGTTTGTTGAGCTTGAGCCAAGCGAATTGGTAGACGTGTTGGAAGCGGATGACGGCGTAGTAGCTGCACTGGATGTGGCAGAGCTTTGGCTCTGAAGGCGGCTGACGCTGGGGAGTTTCAGCTTGTTGGGACGACTACTCGTCAGGGAAGATTGTTGGGCATCATCTTCATCCTCTTCATTTACAGACTGCTGTCGGTCTGCCTCTTGTTCTGTTTGATCTTGCAGACTCGACAACTTCTTAGTTTGCTCATGTTGCTCCCAGAGGGCTTCTACGGCTGCCAACGTGGCTGGCTCGCGGCCCTCGAATGAAGCAAGCAGGGATTCAAAGCAGTAATAACACTGCGCTGTATTCGCCATGTCGACCAGGCTCTCACGGCCAAAAGCTCAAATGATGCACTGCACTGCTTCAGATCCTGACTGTAAATGACCTCAGTCCTGATAAGAGATATGTCCTTATCGATAGAGGGCGCGAATCCAGACTTGAAGGCGAATCCGAGGGTGTCTGTAAAGAACTGAAAGCAGTGCAGTAATGACTCAAGAGTCGCCTGTAAACAGGCTTGGGTGAAGATACAACAGCAGGAAACAAAATGAAGAGAACCTTGGGACGTCGGAAAGAGGGGGGACCACACGTGATCCCAGATAACGTGAGCTATGTGGGGGAAGTATGAAGTCTACAGTAGGATCAGAATGAAGAAATCGTCCGTGAATTGTATAAATTCTTGTGTTGAGAACAAAGTTGTAAAATATACATAGGACGCCCATTAATGTTGAACTTTTCCCGTAGAAATATGAGCCCGCTGTTGAAATAGTGCGGTTGCTCACCCGCCAAAAAGCATTGCTCGTCATGCATAAAAAAAAACATTCCCAATATCCCAATGACCCGCGTCAGGTTGAAAAAAGCAGTCCGGTATTAAACCCCTTAAAACGCACTCATGTAGTTTTTCTTTTCTGTACGAAATGATGTTGAACTCGCGGGACCTGAGTCAGGTCCCTCTTTCTTTTCTTCACCATACTCTCTTTGCGTCTAATTTAGACGGGAAGAGGGTAGGTGCTGGCCCAGTCAGCAACCTCCTTGCGGAGAGCCAGGATCTCAGGGATGCTGTCGGGGTTGGCAACCTTGGCCTTGAAGTCCTTCTGCTTGTTGGCCTCCTTGGGGAGCTCGCTCTGGATCTTCTTGGACAGAGCAATGGCCTGGTCAATGTAGCGAGCAATACGCTTGAAGTCCTCCTCGCCCATACCACGGGAAGACATGGCAGGGGCACCAATACGGATACCACCGGGGGTGAGGGCAGACTTATCACCGGGGACGGAGTTCTTGTTGCAAGCAATGTTGATCTGCTCAAGGACGGCCTCGATACGGGCACCATCGATGCTCTCGGGGCGGAGGTCAACAAGGACCATGTGGCTGTCAGTGCCGCCGGAGACGAGCTTGTGGCCCAGAACCTGGAACTCCTCCTCGAGGGCCTTGGCGTTCTTGATGACCTGCTCCTGGTACTGCTTGAACTCAGGGGTGTCGACCTGCTTGAGGGCAACAGCCAGAGCGGTGATGGTGTGGTTGTGGGGACCACCCTGGTGACCGGGGAAGACGGAGAAGTTGATGGGGTTCTCAAGGTCGTACATGATGTCCTTGCCGGTCTTGTCGGTGCTGCGGACACCCTTGCGGAAGAAGATCATGGCACCACGGGGGCCACGGAGAGACTTGTGGGTGGTGGTGGTCACGACATCGGCGTACTCGAAGGGAGAGGGGATGACACCGGCGGCGATCAGACCAGAGATGTGAGCCATGTCGACAATGAGGTAGGCACCCACCTTGTCGGCAATCGCGCGCATGCGCTTGTAGTCAATGAGACGGCAGTAGGCGGAGGTACCGGCAACCAAGCACTTGGGGCGGTACATCTCGGCGTTGCGCTCGAGCTCGTCATAGTCGATGATACCGGTCTCGAGGTTGACACGGTAGGGGAAGGTCTCGAAATAGGTAGAGACAGCGGAGATCTTCTTGGTGGCGGTTTGGTAACCGTGGGACAAGTGACCACCGTGGGGGAGGTCCAAGCCCATCAGGCGTTCGTGGGGACGCATGAGAGCCTGGTAGACCTGGAGGTTGGCAGGGCTACCGGAAAGGCACTGGACGTTGACGCCCCACTTGGCGGAGTCAAGGTTGAAAGCCTTGAGGGCACGCTGCTGGCAGGTGATCTCAATAGCGTCAATGTGCTGGTTGCCACCGTAGTAACGAGCACCGGGGTAACCCTCGGAGTACTTGTTGCACATGGGCGAGCCAAGGGCATCAAAGACAGCACGGGAGGTGAAGTTCTCCGAGGCGATCAGGACGACCGACTCACGCTGACGTTGGATTTCCTTCTCCTGTAAGAGTAGGGAGCATTAGCAAAAGCAAATTCCATTATAGACGATGCAATTGAAGGTGACAATTGCCTCAGAAAGAGTTCAAACGTACCATGATCGCAGCGATCTCGGGGTCGCTGGACACGAGGGAGTTGTGCATTTGCTGTAAAAATGATGAGTCAATGATCTATACCAAACCTGGTGGCAGGTGGAATTGGAGAGACTTACAGCCTTGTGGGCCTCGGACAGAGCGTAAGACATGATGAAGGTAAATATGTCTGTTTTCTTGATTGATGAAAAACAGAAGGGGAAAATGAAGAAGAGGAAGAGAAAAAAAAGAAATGGGAGTGGTGGGGGAGGGGTGATCTGCCGTTTGCCTCAGGCCACCAAAGTTAAAGAAACGATATCGGAGACCGGCAGGCCGAATTAGGTGAATTAGGTCATCCAATTGGAAATTCTTAGGTTCTCAGCTTAAGGCGATATATGCGTCTTTTTGGTTGCAATTGGGATGTATTGGAATAATCATGACTTGACTGCTAAAATAAAAACCGGGTATTCCTTTTATAAACATCTAACACCATAAATGATCCCGAAACTCACTCAGCCTTCCCATTATGGCCTGCTTTTCCCTGTGTAGTTTTGAGGTCCTATAGCCCTGCTATTAGGTCCTGATGCCTCCATTTGGCATTCCTGCGCGGTCCCCAAAGTCTGAGATGACAGAGCGTAAGCGTGCCACACGGTCCTCAAGCTCTGCAATCTCTTTTTGTTGCTCCTCAACAGACCGTTCCACGTCTGGTAGTCCCTCGACGACTGTGCGCGCCTTCTGGATTCGAATCCGGACAGAGCTGGTTTCGGTAGGAAGATCTTTCACATCGAGCGGTGGATGAGTGGCTGGGTCAAGGACTGGTACATCGTGTGATGCAGTGCCATTGTTTGCCTGCTGGGCTGCCTGGTTGGTCTCGGCTGAAGCTCCTGGAGCTCCTGTGGTGTCTCCGGGTGCGCCTGATGTGCCGTTTGATGTGTTCTTTTGAGAGAGCAAGCGAACAAGGATCCCATATAGCGGCGGGATGATCTCAAATGTCTGTGGTGAGGGAAAGGGTACGGTCTGGGGTGAGGCTGGCGCGTTGAACGGCGTCTCGGGCGCGACTGAGGATTTGGGCAGTGGAGTGCCCGCTGTTGGGGATCGAGAAGCCATTGCGGGATCTTTGACTAAAGGAACCCGAGGATGTTGAAGAACGATGTGATCCCGGGGTTAGTCTTTAGGGAAGAGTCGGAACGCGGAGTGACGTCGGGGAAGAACCAAAAGCGTCACCGGGAATGCCCCTCCTCAACCGGCCTTTTTTTGCGCTTGTCTCCTATTCTCTTTCTCCTCTCATCATCTGTCTGTTGGTAAGCAATTTGGCATTCTTACCCGTATAGGGCTATCATATCCTTGCAAGACAATTAATCGGTGTTTATAGGTGATTCAGACACATACAACCCCACCATGGCTTCGGTCGACCAGAAAGTTGCTTTGAGTAAGATCGACTATCCCCCAGGTCCCCAAATCAAACGCTAATGTCATGCAGTTGTCATTGACGGCTGGGGTATCGCGGGCCCCAATTCCCCTCCCCAGGGTGATGCCATCGCCGCCGCCGAGACCCCGTTCATGTCTGGCTTCTCCGAGCCCAACTCCAAGACCGCCCAGGGCTTCTCCGAGCTGGATGCCTCGTCTCTCGCTGTCGGTCTGCCCGAGGGCCTGATGGGCAATAGCGAGGTCGGTCACCTGAACATTGGTGCCGGCCGTGTTGTCTGGCAGGACAGTGTTCGCATTGACCAGACCCTCAAGAAGGGTGAGATGGGCAAGGTTCCCAACATTGCCAAGGCCTTCACTCGTGCGAAGGAGGGCAATGGGCGTCTGCACCTGTGCGGTCTGGTCTCGGACGGTGGTGTTCACTCCAACATCACTCACCTTTTCTCCCTGCTCGAGGTCGCCAAGGAGATGCAGATTCCCCAGGTTTTCATCCACTTCTTCGGTGATGGACGTGATACCGACCCCAAGAGTGCCGACAAGTACATGCAGCAGCTTCTTGAAAAGACCCAGGAGCTCGGCACTGGTGCTATCGCCACCGTTGTTGGTCGCTACTACATCATGGACCGCGACAAGCGCTGGGAGCGTGTTGAGGTTGGCCTGAAGGGTCTGGTCACTGGTGAGGGTGAGGACAGCGAGGATCCTCTGAAGACCATCAAGGAGCGCTACGAGAAGGGCGAGAACGACGAGTTCCTGAAGCCCATCATTGTTGGTGGCAAGGAGCGCCGTGTCCAGGGTACGTTCAAGCTAAACACATGAGTCAAGCTCGTGATATTAACTGAGCCATAACAGACGACGATACCGTCTTCTTCTTCAACTACCGTTCGGACCGTGTCCGTGAGATCACTCAGCTCCTGGGTGACTACGACCGCTCCCCTCGCCCCGACTTCCCCTACCCCAAGAACATCTCCCTCACCACTATGACCCAGTATAAGACCGACTACACCTTTGATGTTGCCTTCCCCCCGCAACACATGGGTAACGTCCTGTCCGAGTGGCTCGGCAAGAAGAACCTCCAGCAGTGCCACATTGCTGAGACTGAGAAGTACGCTCATGTCACTTTCTTCTTCAACGGTGGCGTTGAGAAGCAGTTCCCAGGTGAGGTTCGCGACATGATCCCTTCGCCCCGGGTTGCTACCTACGATCTTGACCCTAAGATGAGCGCCGCTGCCGTCGGTACCAAGATGGCTGAGCGCCTTGGCGAGAAGAAGTTCGACTTCGTCATGAACAACTTCGCTCCTCCTGACATGGTTGGCCACACCGGCGTGTACGAGGCCGCCATCCAGGGTGTTGCTGCCACCGACAAGGCCATCGGTGAGATTTACGAGGCCTGCAAGAAGAACAACTACGTTCTCTTCATCACCGCCGATCACGGGTAAGTTGTTTCACCTAGTTCGATATCATGCGAATCCCTAGTTAACCCAAATTCACAGAAACGCCGAGGAGATGCTCAACGAGAAGGGCACCCCCAAGACCTCCCACACTCTCAACAAGGTTCCCTTCGTTATGGCCAACGCCCCTGAGAGCTGGAGCCTGAAGAAGGGCGGTGTTCTGGGCGATGTTGCCCCCACCGTTCTCGCTGCGATGGGCATTGAGCAGCCCGAGGAGATGTCTGGCGAGAACCTGCTGATCAAGTCCTAGATACGAATTCTCGCACATAAACGTTGATTATGATACAATGAATAGAAACCAGTTCTGTCAATATAAACCGTATTGCCTTTTATTTAAGAATGGAGTAGAGTTCTTCGGAGTGGTCGACCCAACCCTCAACGTGATGCAATTCGTCATCCACGGTTCTCTTTGGTAGTATTGCAATGAAATTTTGATGGGTATATCTTCAACCTAATCCATGCGCCATCCTGGTGTCGAGCACCTATACAGATCACATTTCCCCGGATACTATGGTATCCCAATTCATGAAACCTTAGCGCTCAACGCCCAGCACAGTTTCCGGTCTCTCGTTGAGTCAAGATAGATCACAGCTGCGAATTGTGGGCGCTAAAACGCAGTGAACTGGTTGGACTTCAGTCCCATCTGGCGCCAGCTTCGTGTTGCACACACTTATCGCATCTCCTGGTGACATCTCCTTTACTTCTGGATTCTGCTATTTCGAGCTCAAGCAGAAGCCTGAGCAGCAGCAGCCTGCTGCTGCTGCTGAATCTGGCTCTGGAATTGCATGATCTAGAGGGGAATGTCAAAATAGGCCCATGGTGGAGAGGTTGATAGTGCGCCTTACCTCTGCACGCTTGGCCTCGCTCTTGTCCTGTGTCGCATCGATCTCGCCCTCAATTCGCTTGCTATAGTTTCACAATAAGCATCCATATTTGCCGGTTCGCAGCGGTGAGACTAACATTTCCTTCTCAATGAACTCCAGTCGACCGTTGACGGCCATGGTTGCTTCGGTCTTGTCCTGCTTCAGCAACACCGGGCCGACAAGCTTGAAGATGTTGGATTCATCATCCAGCTGAGCAAACTCGCTCTGCACACCCTCGTTCTCCTGCTGCTGCGATTCAAGTTTCTGGCGGGCATCGACCAAGCCCTCGAGCTCTGCGCGGGGGACAAGTCAGTAGCTGCCACCGGAAATAGCAAATAGACAAGTAGACAAACCGGTCTGCATGCCCTGGAACTCTTCCGTGAGCGCCTGAAGCTGTTTCTGGGGGTCCATGGTGAAGTTGGAGGTGAAGTGGGAGGAGGGAAAATCAATCGACCTGCCCGCCCGTAAACAACTTCCACTCTCCCTTTCCCCTCCAATTCCATCCAACCGACTGTTCTTGCGCCGATACTCGCTTTCGATTTCCTTCTTCCTTACTGAATTTCTAGTATTCTCTACTCGCACGTCTCTGCCTATCCTTCTAGCCTTCGCCCAGTGCCCACGAGACCCTTGCTCCCCTCCTTCTCTCCCCGCTTTAGCACGTCTGCCTCCGCGGTTTGCCTCTCCGAACTCACCAAACACGTCGACGCTTTGCCATCATGAGTAATACGGACTTCTTGGGGCGGGCGATCGATACAGTCAAGAAGGCAATCGAGAATGATAATGACGGCGAGTACGAAAAGGCTTATCAGATGTACTACTCCGCACTGGAGTTGTTCATGCTGGCCTTGAAATGGGAGAAGAACCCCAAGTCCAAGGAGATGATCCGCGCAAAGGCTGGCGAGTACATGGATCGTGCGGAGAAGCTTAAGAACCACTTGGCCGACGATCGGAAAAAACCAAGTGCTGTCAGCGCAAATGGCAAGGTGGCGCACGGTAGTGGGAAGGGAGGGTATGTATTCGACCTCTTTTGACTGGGCTCAACCCTGCTCTGTCGGTTCAATTCTTGTGATTTAGCAAGGCTGGCAATTGAGTTATCTACTTGTTTTCATCCGCTGACAGTAGTGGTCCAAACAGGAAGGAAGATGACGATAATGGCGAGGATGCGGAATCGAAAAAGCTCCGGTCAGCACTTCAAGGCGCTATCCTGTCCGACAAACCAAACGTGAAATGGGAGGATGTTGCTGGTCTGGAAAATGCAAAGGAAGCATTGAAGGAAGCTGTCATTCTTCCTATCAAGTTTCCGCACCTGTTCACTGGCAAGCGGCAACCCTGGAAGGGTATCTTGCTTTATGGCCCCCCTGGTACTGGAAAGTCCTATCTTGCCAAAGCCGTTGCAACGGAAGCAAACAGCACATTTTTCAGTGTCAGCAGTAGTGA